CCAAAAAAAAAAAAAAAAAAAAAAAAAAAAAAAAGGAAAGATATCCACCAGGGGAGAGATCAGCCTCGTTCGTTAACCTCGATTTCATTAGCAAAGGTGACTCTTCAAGGCATGATAAAGCCTGGGGTGGGGCCTCCTCCCAGGCTCACACTCAAATCCTGTATGATAGTACCCAGGTCCTCATTTTAGCATTACAGTGGGAAGAAGAAAGCCTGGGAGACAGAAGACTTGGTATGAAGGCCCCAGCTCTGCTCAGTCTCCACACAAACTGGGGCCAGCCCCTCCTTCTCCATGGACCTCAGTTTCTCCTTACACAGGATAAGGGGTTGGACAGTGGTGACTTTAAGTGTCCTGCCAGCTCTGACATTCCAGGATGTGGATTTCTATTCTCCAGTCCTTTTAACAGTTCCTCCAGTCCAATTGGCACAACTGAGGTCCAAAAGGCCCAGTCTCCTCTCCAGACGCTCTCTTCTCCCTTCTAATGTATCTTACTTTCCAGAGCAAGATTCCTAGCCTGAAATATGGCTTCCACCACCTTTGCTGATTCCCAATTTCCTCAGGATAAAGCCTCAAATCTTCAGCCTGTAACTTATTTTTGTTTTTTTATTTAGAGCATATTTTATTAGTTTCTGTAATCAAACCCATGTAGATAAGACCTTACATATTTAAAACAGCATTTTATCCCTGTACAAATGGAAAAAAATTAATGTTTCTAGACCAATATGGCTGTTAATTTCTATACAATGTCAACTCAACAAAGTCAGCTGGGATAACTTTTTCCAAAGTTGACAGCACAGCAAAAGTTTCCAAAAATTCAAATTATATATATTTGTTTATACACACACACACACACACACACACACACACACACACACACACACACACAAAAAAGACCAATAATAGCACTACATTATGCATCAATAGCAGCAACAGCTTTTCCAGGTTCCGTAGTCATCTGCAGCCTGGCATTTAAAACAGTCTGTCATCTTGTTTTTCCTAACCTTATTGCCTACTGTCAGGCCTCTCTTCTCACCATCGTTTCTAACCTTCCTGCCAAGCCTTTCCCCATGTAATATCCCACACCCTAATGCATTTTCCCCGACTCTCATCTCCGAAGTCCAGTTTGCCTGCAGCCTCATAGAGGAAGGAGCTGTAACTTAACTTATTGTGAAGCTACCCTTCACGCCCCCAGTGCTGAGCATTAGTAGGTGCTCAATGAAATTCTCAGACAGCCCAAGGCCCCTTTCTTCGGCATGTTGCATTTAAGCAGGGGCTGTGTTTTAGCAATTGGGATTTTTCCTAGCTTGTTGGGCAGCCCAGTCCAGGGACTGGCACGAGTGACCCTCAGAATCGAATGCCAGGACTGGGAGGGACTTAGTGACCAGCCAGTCGGTCCACACCCCTCTCTACCAAAGAAGGAAGTCTAGCTGGGTTTCAACTCAGATCCTATCCCCACCACTAACCAGGCTGTGTAACTTTGAGCAAGCCACTAACCTCGCTTTGCCTTAGGTTCCACATTTGAAAAATGGGGAGACCAGCTGTGCCCCCCTGCGGAGTGGGTTGTGAGGATTCAACAGGATAATGCCTGTAAAGGCCAAGTACTGGGCCAGGCCCTAGTAGGTGTGTCGTGAACGTCACTAGTCCCAGCCGGGCCACCCAGTTCCTCTTCTCATGGAAGGCACAGTCTCCCCAAGGCCACGTCTCAGAGTTGGGGCGCAGCTTTGGAGCCCGTCTCAGAGTGTGAACGGGTATGGGTGTGTGGCGGGGCTGCCCAGCCAGTGCAGACCCAAGCGCAGGGTGTGGCCCTGCAGAGCCCATCGGCCTGGCTGGCTGGGGCAGGCGAGACGACGGGGCGGACACTTGGCCTTGACTTCTCTACGCCGTAGGTTTGCTTTCTGGGCCCTCCTTCTCAAGCCAGATCTCTAACGTGGATTCAGTGGCGCTTTTCAGGGTGAGCCTGTAACAATGCGGTGCCGTGCAGCAGCCATCACTGCGCGCCCTCCTCGGGCTGCGCAGTCTCCACCCCTGTTCTCCCTTCTCCCACCTCCACCTCTGCGGCGGTAAAATGCAGTACTCGCAGGGCGCCTGCGCGGTTGTCGGGCGGGGCGGTGGCGGCAGTTATTTATAGTAGGTGACGTCACCTTGAAATAGACCGTTAGGGCCGGCCCGCCCTTCCCCCCCTCCCACTCTCGCCGCCCGGCCGGCCGCTCCCACTGCGCAGGCGTCGTCCCGTCCTCCCATCCCCCCGCGCGGTCGCTTCTCCTCCCTCGGCGGCGTCGGCG